ATTTTGATGTTGGCTGTGGTCATAAGATTGTGTGCTTGGTTGCTTTTTGTTTTACTGTAGTAAGGTTAATTGTTTCCTGTGTTTTCTTGACAGAAGCTAATTTTCTTGGGTTGTATTTTCCCTTCCAGTGTCTTCTGTAATGCTGGATTTGTGTGTAGGTATTGTTGAAATTTGTTTTTGTCATTGAATATCTTATTTTCTCCGTCTATGAGGACTGAGAGTTTTGCCTGGTACAGTAGCCTGGGCTGACATCTGTGTTCTCTTAGGGTCTGCATGATATCTGTCCATGCCCTTATGGCTTTCATAGTTTCTGTTGAAAAGTCAGGTGTGATTCTAATGGGTTTGCCATTATATGTTACTTGGCCTTTTTCCCTTGCAGCTTTTAGTATTTTTTCTTTGTTCTGTATACTTACTGTTTTGATTATTATGTGGCAGGAGGATTTTCTTTTCTGGTCAAATTTGTTGGGTGTTCTGTAGGCCTCATGTATTTTTATTGGCTTCTCCTTTAACTTGAGGAAATTTTCTTCAATGATTTTTTTGGAAAATGTTTTCTGGGCCTTGGAGAAGGGAGTCTTCTTTTTCCTCTATACCTATTATTCTTAGGTTTTGTCTTTTCATATTGTCTTGGATTTCTTGAATGGTCTGTGTCAGGAATTTTTTGGATTTAACATTTTCTTTGACAGAAACATCGATTTCTTCCATTGTATCTTCTACACCTGAGATTCTTTCTTCCATTTGTTGTAGTCTGTTGGTTATGCTTACCTCTGTAGTTCCTATTTTCTTCCCTAAATTCTTCCTCTCCATTATTTCCTCCAGTTGTGTTTTCTTTAATTTTTCCAGTTCTATCTTCAGGTCTTGAGTTGTTTTGTTTACTTCCTTCAGCTGTTTGCTTGTATTTTCCTCTTTTTTTTTTAGTTCCTTCAACTCTGTCTCTTTTATTTCTTTCAGTGATTTAATTATTTCTTCTCTAAAGGCTGCAAGCTATTTGGCTGCATCTTCCCGTATTTCTTCACGGATGGCCATAATCTACTTGTCTTTAACTTCCTCCATTACTTTACGGATAGCCATGATCTGTTTGGTTTTATCTTCCTCTAATTCTTTACATATTTTATTTGTTTCCTCTCTTATCCTCTTCATCAGCATAGATGTAAGGCCATCTTCTTTATTTTCTATTATGCTGCGTTGTCCAGGGCTGTTCACCCCTGGATGGCTGGATTCTGGAGATGCCATATTGCTCTGTCTTTTGTTGGTTGAGCTTTTACACTGACCTCTACCCATTGGGCTGATTTAGGTGTTGGCTGTTAGTTTCTGTGCTTCCTGGAGTCCTGAGGTAGGGAGAATCCCCTTGGCCAGATGATGATTTTTCCTGAAGGAGTCCTCCCTTGCTTTTTGGTTATGGTCACTGTATGGCCAGTGTTTCTCAGGAATTGCCGCTGCTCACCTCAGGTTTATAGCCCTGAGTAGTAGCTGTGGTCTTTGTTAGGCAGGGGGGGATCTCCTCTTACCCATAGAAGTTTTCAAGACAGCTGCCCCACTGCTCGGTTTCTCGTTATAAATTTAGTGTGCTGCTGCTCACTAAATTTCCAGGTACAGTCCTCTTTAAGAACCTGCTGATTCCCTAGCTGTGGGGTTTTCTCCCAACAGGGAAACTCAGTCTGTTATCCTGGAGCACACAGTTTTGTCCTGGAAAGTGAGAGGTGTGCCCAGCAAGTCTCTGGGCCAGAGGCTGAGTGCTCCGCTCTGGGCCTGGAGAATGTGCACCTAGGTTGAGTTGGCACATGGGGGCGCTGCTCTGGTCTGGAGGCTGGGTGCCTCACTCTGGACCAGAAGCTGTGTGTCCTTGTCTGGGATGGCGGCTGCAGGCACTGCTCTGGTCCAGACCCTGTGGGTGCAGCCCTCTTGAAGAACCAGGGATTCCCACACTTTTGTCAGTCTAGCTAGGGATAACTGGTTGATCCTTGGCACAGTATCTGAGGGCTACTGTAATGGATCCCTGGCTTTTGTAGGTCTGAGGATGCAGCTGTGTGTCCCATTGCCCTAGGGGAACTCAATAATGGCAGCTGAGCACAGCGCTCCTGCCTGCATTAGAGCCTAGAGTCTGCGTGAATCCAGGAAGTCTCTTGGTGCTGGGTGTCCTGAGCGTTAGAGCTGATGATCCCCTCCGCTGGGGTTTTCCTCCTGCCAGAGACACCCAGTCTTTGTTTTGGGGACCGCTGTTCTGTCTGGGGTGGCGAGTAGAACCCACAGGCACAGATGCCCGCTTGTGGCTCCGCCTTTCTGGCCTTTGGGAGCCTTGGTGGCTGCCTAAACTGGGTTATTTTTCCCCAGACCTTTTCGGGATGGGGGTGTCCGCTGAGTGCTCTGAGATCAGACCAGCCATTTCCCTCTCTGTGGGTTTGCACCTGACAGTGAAACGCAGTCTCTGGTGCCCTGGTGCCCACAGTTCTGAGGCGGCGAATCAGGCGCGCAGGCAGGGCTCTGTGCAGGTGCCTTGGGCCCCAGCTCTGGCTCTGGGCTGGCTCCTGGGGCACCTGCCGAACCCGAGTCTTTTCCAGGGGATGTCTGGGTGACCTAAGGTCGGTCCCAATTGTTTCCTGCTCCGTAGGGTTATCTCTTGACTGGAAAATCCAGTCTGTGTTGTTGTGGCCCCACAGTTCAGTCTGGGACAGTGACCAGATCACGCTGGCGTGTAGCTCTGGGCTGGCGACCAAGTGCCTGGCTAAACCAGGATCTCTTCCTCGGTTTATCCAGGTGAGTTAAAGCTGATTGAATTCCCCACCGTGGGGTATCCTCTCACCTGTGAAACACAATCACTTGTGTTTTATGGCCGTGAGTTCTGATCGCTGGTCACTGTGACAATCCTGCTGTGCTGCTCCTCAGAATGAGAGTCCTCCTGGCGCTGCCATCTTGCCCTGCCTCCCCTGAGTAATCCAATTTAAAAACAGAGTATAGAGCTGAACAGGATTCTCTATAGAATGGCAGAGAAACAGTTTAAGAAATGCTCAACGTCTTTAGTCATCAGGGAAATGCAAATCAAATCGACCCTGAGATTTTTGCCTTACAACAAAAAGAATGGCTAAGAACAAAAACTCAAGAGAAAACACCTGCTGGAGAGGATGTGGAGAAAAGGAAATCCTCCACCATGGCCCGTGGGAATGTAAACTTGTACAACTACATTCGAAAACATTCTGGCACTTTTCTCAAAAATTAAGAACAGTCCTTCCTCAAGATTCAGCGTTAGGACTCCTAGGCATATATTTAAAATATACTCCAGCACACAACAAGGACATTTGCTCAACCATGTTCATAGCAGCTTTATCTGTAATAGGTAGAATCTGGAAACAACCCAGATGTCCTTCAACTGAAGAACGGATACAGAAATTGTGGTACATTTACACAATGGAATTAAAAAAAATAAAAACAAGGAAATCATGAAATGTGCATGCAAATGGTGGGAACTAGAAAAGATCATCCTGAGTGAGGTATCTCAAAAGCAGAAAGACTTATATGGTATACACTCACTCATAAGTGTATATTAGACTAATAATATAACATAAACATTCAAAAATCTAAGTAAACTAAGCAAGAAGGAAGACCCAGGGTAAGCTGATAAATCCTCATTCAGAATGGCAAACAGTCCAGACATCTGAAGAGGGATAAAACAGGGAACAGGACAGGAGCCTACCACAGAGAGTCTCTGAAAGGCTCTACCCAGAAGGGTATCAAAACAGATCCTGAGATTCATAGCCAAACATTGGGAGACGTGCAGAGAATCTTATGAAAGAAAGGAAGATAGTAAGACCAGGGAGGAACTGGAACTCCACAAGGAGAAAAACAAAACCAAAAAATTTGGGCACAAGGTACTTTTCTGAGACTGACTCTCCAATCAAGTTTCATGCACGGAGATAAACTAAAACTCCTGTATAGATGTAGTCCATGTCAGCTCAGTCTGCAAGTGGGTCACCTAGTAAGGGGAACAAGGGCTATCTCTAACATAAACACAGTGGCTGTCTCTCTGATCACCTTCCTCTGATGAGGGAGCAGTCTTACCAGGACACAGAGTAAGACAAAGCAACCAGTCCAGATGAGACCTGATTAGTTAGGGTCAGATGGAAGGAGAGGAGGTCCAATCCTATCAGTGGACTGAGGAAGGGGCATGGGAGAAGGAGTGAAAAAGAGAGTGGGATTTGGAAGAGACAAGGAAGTGGGAAATAGCTTCGATATAAAATGAATAAATTATAATAAATTAATAAAAATCAGATGCATATATGCAATAGACATATAGACCAAACAGACATATAGACCAAAGCACACAACATGGGCAGTTGCCCAGAGTTCCTCATGTTTCTGTATGCTGATAATGCAACCTGGGTCTTTTAAATTTATATGGCCTTCTATAATTGCAGCATTAAACTATTTATTATATGAAAAAAAATTCAGATATTCAAAAGAAATCAAGAGCTGATTCTTTGAGAAAATCAACAAGATAGACAAACCCTTAGCCAAACTAACTAAAAGGCTGAGAGAAACTATACAAATCAACAAAATCAGAAACAAAAAGGAGGCCATAATGACAGACACTGAAGAAATTCAAAGACTCCTTAGGTCTAACTTCAAAAGTCAATACACCATAAAATTTGAAAATCTAAATGAAATGGGCAATTTTCTTAATAGATAATTTACCAAAGGTTGAGGATTTTTAATCTAAACTAATAATCTCAGGATGATCTATTCTTTGTAAATAATTTTAAAATCTGTCTTATTTTGAACAGATTCATCATAGTCTCAAGCCATAACCAAGAGATATCTAAAGTCAGCATGACACCATAAACTTAACTGATGCTTCTTGCTTGTACTGTAACCTTTCAGTGCAAAACCACAACTTCTAAATCTCTTAACTTAGTTTCTCCTATTTATCTATACACACCAGTGTTGCCAAAAATATTGAAGAAAGTAGGCTATCTCTTAATTAATTTTCTACTGAAGGTTGCATCAATTGGTCATGCATAGCAGATCTCAGGCAGAAGGGGGAAGTGTGCAGGCCCAGGGATGTTTGTGTTGCAAGCAGCTGGTGAGATTCTCAAGGAGGTTTGTGTTGGAGACTGAAGCACTGTGGGAGGATAGCTGTCATACTGCAGACAGTAATAAACTGCCAGGTCTTCAGCCTGCACACTGCTGATGGCGAGAGTGTAATCTGTCCCAGATCCAGTGCCTGTGAATCGATCTGGTACCCCAGTGTATCGATTGGATGCCCTGTAGGTCAGCAGTTTAGAAGGCTGCCCTGGTTTCTGCTGGTACCAAGCTACCCAACCACTCACACTCTGACTAGACTTGCAGCTTAGGGTAATTCTCTCTCCAATAGATGTGGACATGAATTCAGGAGTCTGGGTCATCACAATGTTTCCCTCAGCACCTGCAACCAGAAATACACAATGAGTATACACAGAAGGAGTTCCTGATACAAATGTTGGCATCCAAAATGCCTTTTCTAATGGCATTGCCTGCATACAATTGGTTTCCTATAGTAAACAGCTGTTTTTTTCTACAAATGAACTATATTGATGATATTCTAATACTCTAATACTCTTTAATGTCTAACCAGACAACCAGAGGAGCAGGAATATGAAGACTTGGGTGTGTGACTCCATCTTGGTCACCCAGGCTGTCTGATGCTTTTCAATTCTAACTGCAAAGGCCTGGTTTATAAATTATGGGCAGCTGGGCTGTCTTGTAGGGACCTATGCAAAACAGTCATAACATGAGAAAGTAAATAACCAGGGTACTGGGCTGTGAAATATCCAGGTTAAATCTTCAGCCAAAAATATCATCAAAGTGAGTAACCAATCACTGGGGGGAAAAGTCAACATTGAAGCTCAAGGACCAATTTAGAGCTTTCAATCTGAAAATAACGAGATACACTCATGACAGGCTTCCATTAAAAATCCAAAACATTTAAGTAAAGTGAGTTTAATAGAAATATACTAGAAAACCTTTGATTAAAATCCTGAGGAAACAATAAATATCTTAATCAACAACAGCAGAAAGAAACAGGAGAAGAATTTCTACTTTTGAAGAAGGGAAAAAAGAAGGGGAAAGTAGAAGAGTAGTTGAGAGAAAGGAAAGAAAAGAGAGGATGGAGAGGAGAGGGAAATCTGGATTAGAGAGGGATTAGAAATGTCAAGAGGAAAGAAAATTTGAGCAGCTAAAGGAAATACATATTAAAACAGAAAGGTTTGGGAATAGAGTCAGATCAGCAGTTATGAGCATTTCTTCTCTTATAAAACACTCATATTTGATTCCAATGAATTGTTGATGATTCTGAGTTATCTATAATTCCAGTTATAGCACACACAAGGTACACATACATACATGCATACATACATACATATCTAAATAGATACATAGATTTTGAGATGTGAGCCCTGAGCTTCTGCTCCAGCTAAAACAAGGTCTCCCACCTGCTGCCTTCACTTTGCTATCATGGATTCTAGTTCTCTGAAAGCCCCAATAAACCCTTTCTTAAAAATTGGCTTTGGTCATGTTTTTTTAAATTAAATGTTTATTTTTTTACATTAATTATATTTTATTTCCTTTGTATCCCAGCTGTAGCCCCTCCCACATTGCCTCCCAATCCCACCGTCCCTCTCTCCTACATCTTTTCCCTTGCCCCTCTCTAAGTCCACCAATAGGGGAGGTTCACTTCCTCTTCCATCTGACACTAGCTAATCATATCTCATTAAGACTGTCTGAATTGTCTTCCTCTGGGGATGAGGTGAGGGGGATCAAAGTGACAGCCACTCAGTTCATGTCAGAGACAGTCCCTCTTCCCCTTTCTAGGGAACCCATTTGGATACTGAGTCTCCATGGGCTGCATCTGTGCAGGGTTCCAGGTTATCGCCATGAATGGACCTTGTTTGGGGTATCAGTCTCAAAAAATGACCCGGAGCCCAGATATTTTTGTTCTGTTGCTCGCCTAGTGGAGCTCCTGTACTCTCGAGGTCTTACTAACTACCTCTTCTTTCATATGATTCCTGTACTCTGCCCAAAGTTTGGTAATGAGTCTCAGCATCTGCTTTGACACACTGCTAGGTAGACACTTTCAGAGTCCCTCAATGGTAGGCCCCTGTCCTGTTTCTTGTTTTCTCCATCTTCCAATGTCCATTCTATTTGTGTTTATAAGTGAAATTGATCCTCTTACCCCAGGTCCTCCTTCTTGATTAACTTCTTTAGGTGTACAGATTTTAGTATGTTTATCCTATCTTATAGGTCGAGTATCCACATATAAGTGAGTATATTTCCTTGTTTTTAATTGCAGAGTAGTATTCCACTGTGTAAATGTACCACAATTTCTGTATCCATTCTTCCATTGATGGATGCCTGGGTTGTTTCTAGGTTCTGGCTATTACAAATAAAGCTGCTACAAACATGGTTGAACAAATGTCATTGTTGTGTACTTGAGCAAATTTTGGATATATGCCTATGAGTGTTATAGCTGGATATTGAAGAAGCGCCTTTTCTATGTGTCTGAGAAAGTGCCTCATGTGTTATCACTTCAGTTTTTGATCTTAGCCATTCTGATAGGTGCAAGGTGAAAACTCAAGGCTGTTTTGGTTTCCATCTCCCTGAAGACTAAGGACATTGAACATTTCTTTAAGTCTTTCTCTGCCATTCAATATTCCTCTATTGAGAATTCTCTGTTTAGCTCTGTACCCCATTTTTTCTTTTTTATTTTTTTATTAATTGCACTTTATTCACTTTGCATCCCCCCATAAACCCCTCCCTCCTCCCCTCCTAATCACACCCTCCCTTGCCCTTCTTCATGCATGCCCCTCCCCAAGTCCACTGATAGGGGAAGTCCTCTTCTCCTTCCTTCTGATCTTAGTCTATCAGATCTCATCAGGAGTGGCTGTATTGTCATCTTTCAATAAATGGGACCTCATGAAACTGAAAAGCTTCTGTTAAGCAAAAGACACTGTCATTAAAACAAAATAACTGCCTAGAGATTGGGAAAGAATCTTCACCAACCTTTATCTGACAGAGGGCTAATATACAGTACATATAAAGAACTAAAGAAGCTGAAAGCAGCAAACCAAGTAATCCAGTTAAAAAATGAGGAACAGAGCTAAACAAAGAATTCTCTGTAGAGGAATATAGAATGGCAGAGAAACACTTAAAGAAATGTTCAACGTCATTAGCCATTAGGGAAATGCAAATCAACACGACCCTGAGATTTCACCTTACACCCATCAGAATAGCCAAGATGAAAAACTCAAGTGACAACCTATGTATCCCATTTTTTAATTGGGTACCTTGATTAGTGGTTTTTTAACTTCTTTAATCCTTTATATATACTGGATACTAGCCCTCTGTCAGCTATAGGGTTGGTGAACATCCTTTTCCAGTCTGAAGGCTGTCGTTTTGTTCTGAAGACAGTATCTTTTGCTTTACAGAAGCGTTTCACTTTCATGAAGTCCTATTTATTGATTGTTGCTCTTAGATGACATTTGTTAGCATATTGTTTACATGGGTGTCATGGGTTTCCAATTTGTAATGTTAAATTTACTCACAACTATGAGATAAAAGCCTGGAAGGTAGATTCTATCAAGACACAGTCATACTTCTTTAGTATAGAGTGAGGTTTCCAGGTCTCTATATTGGAGAGCAGAATGGGAGAATTCAGAGTGATATGTGACCCATGAGGAAGAGGTAAAGGTGGACATGCAGCTTAGAAACAAAATTATTACATGTACCATCTCATTTACAGATCTTCTATTTTAAACATGAACATTTAAACATGAATTCACCTATAGTGGATATATAGAAGGGGAACTAGGTGAGGGAAAGAAACTTGTAGTAAATGAAACATGGAAAAGAGAGAAAGAGGAGGGTAAAAGGTGTGTCTTTTTAAGAATTATTATGGCTATGATAAAACGTCATGACCAAAAGCGACATAAAAGGATGGGAAATTTTATTTTTCTGATATTTCCAGGTAACAGTCCATCACTGAGGGAAGTCAGGGCTGGGATTCAAAGAAGGAACCCAGAGGCAGGAGCTGAGCACAGGCCATAGAGGAGAGACGCTTACTGGATTCCTCCTCATAGCTTGCTCAGTTTGCTTTGTTGGAGAACCCAGGATCACCATCAATGGCTGGCATCTCCTACAATGGACTCCATCCTCCCCCATCAAATAGTTATTAATAAAATGCCCTACAGGCTTGCCCAATGCCCAGTATTGCAAAGGCTTTTTCTCTATTGAAGTTTGTCCCTCTCAGATGATTTTAGTTTGTGTCTATTTGTCATAAAATCTCATCAGTATTTGGTATAAATATGATTATATAACATAATCTTGAAAGTAGATTGCTTTTATAGAATACAACTTTATGTATAATATGTATATTCCAATACATTTAATTTTTCAACAACTACAGGATAAGGAGCAGGGTGGGAAGTCAGATGGTCTCTGAGTCTCTGCTGCTGCCAATGTGTTTTCTGTCCATACATAGAACACATGGAGGCTGTGGAACTTAGACAGGTGAATGCACATAGCTTTCATTGTTTATATATTCAGTGTCTGCCAGATATTTGATATATTCCTCTCTTACTCAAGTGTTTCTTTATGTAACATAATTTCTCATGATTTCTGTAAGTACTTTCATTTTTACTAAATAACTAGGACAGAAACTAATTTAATACATAGATAATATCAGAAATTTAATAAAGAAAAATAATGTCATTACTGGAATTTAAAGATTATCCATTTTAAAAATATGGATGATTAATATGAAAAGAAATTTAGCTATTTCTAAAATACTTATTCTGCTAATGAACACAGCCATAAAAATGAGAATTTTTTTTTGTCAAATCACCTTTAAAATCATGCTATCAAGATAGGCAAAAGTAGTGGAAATACTTATTTAATCTTCACTCAAAGATTAAAGAACACATTTATTTAATCTTCACATAAAAGATTAAAGGACATATTGGCCTTTATATGCTCTCCTAGACATTCAGTTTCTATTTTACTAGGGCAAGGCTGTCTAACTGACCATTGTACTGATAGCAGAGAGATTACGAAGCTATATAAAGATAAAAAAAAAAATTGATGCTTCAGACACTGGAT